GACTGCACGGGGCGGGGAGAGACTTTAGGGACTCGTTTACTATCTTAGCTCTGAGGAATAAAGGGCTTGGGAGGTGAGAGAAGAAAATATGGTGTGGAAGAATCGCAATTCAATATATATTTTATTATTTTGCAACTCTATCTCCTCCAAACGCAAATAACCTTGATTCTTATTTCACGGTTGTTAAAGTGCAATTCTAGAACCACAGAAAGTACTGAAAAGAGAACGCTTTGCCATACAAATGCTAACAGGGCGAAATACATTTTCACTGTAGAATTATGGGCTGCTTAATTGTAGCTGAGCCACGAGGTGGCGGTATTGGCAAATAAGGAGCTAAAATCAGCTTTTACGGGTCCGTCAACATTCAGAGGGGAGCTGCGCTCAGACGTCTGAATGCCACTGAAGGCAGCGGCTCTGCGCCGGGAACTGTGTTAAGGATTACAGGAAAAGCGTGGCTGGAATCAATACGAACAGAGTCAGTCTTCAGGAGAAATCGCATACAGTGTAGCAAAACATCTGAGCGGTTGCCGCGGCTCGGCAGCGGGGCCTGTGTTCAGATGTGACTGGGCCTGGCTGGCGCAATGGCGAATCGCTCCAGGACAAGGCAAGTTCTCTCTTTCGCTCTGTGTCTGTGGGTGTCCCTGGCGGAGGGCGGGACGAGCCGCTATTCTGTGCCGGAGGAGAAGAAAAGCGGGTCGCTAGTTGCTAATATCGCAAAGGATTTGAATGTGGCCGTAGGGACCTTGTCTGCTCGCAGGGCGCGGCTGGTTTCTAAAAGCACCAGGCAGTATTTTGAGCTGAACGCGCGGTCCGGGGATGTGAGAATAAAGGAGAAAATAGACCGGGAGGAGCTTTGCAGACGGAGTGACCCGTGTGTGCTGCAATTCGAAATTGTGCTGGAAAACCCACTGCAGCTGTACCCAGTGGAGGTGCAGATCGAAGATGTGAATGACAATTCCCCGAAATTCTCCAAGAGTGAATTCACTTTGGAGGCGCCTGAACAGATTCCCGTAAACTCCCGCTTCCCTTTGGAAGGAGCCCAAGATTCGGACATAGGAACAAACGGCATCCAGAGCTACGCAATCAGCTCTAATGAGCATTTCCGTCTGGATGTGCAAACCCACAGCGACGGCAGCAAATACGCGGAGCTTGTGCTCGAGAAACAATTAGATCGCGAGGCGCAGGCGCAGTTGATGCTGATTCTCACCGCTGCAGATGGGGGCCGCCCACAGCGAAACGGCACAGCCCAAATACGCGTCAGTGTGCTGGATGTTAACGATAATTTCCCCCAGTTCAGCCAGTCCGTGTACAGGGCGCAGTTACCGGAGAACA